ATGACCTGGAGTCATTCATTGACTGACTGTCAGAAAAAAAAAGGAATGAAAGTTAAAAATTAAAAAAAGAATGATAGGGTACATGAAATAGGAACCTTTGACATTCATTTGTTAAATCCAAGGGATGTCGTACTTATTCACTTTTGAAGTCAACCTACCACGCAAAATGTCCTGTGTTACACTAAGTTACAGGAAAACAAAAGCAGGAACCATCTTGTTTCAATTGCAACTACTGTTGGGAAAAATTTAGTGTTACATACAGTTACAGTAATAAAATTCTAATTCCCTTTTCTCTTAAAAAGTAGTGGGCCCTGAGACATTGAGGAATTTTTTAGAATTAAAATCATTCACAGTGCTGTGTATGCAAGAAATGTAGGCTACTGGTAAGTGTAAGTTGTGCGAAAAAATCAGCTGAGTTTGGGCATATTTTTGTAAAAAGTTTTGTTTATGGCTTTGTTTTTATTCATGAAAGACATGCATGAATATTATCAGCATTGATTTGTGCATACTTAAAGATAGTAATCTTTCAACTAACACCTTTCAGACTTGCTGATTACATTTATATCTTAAAGAACACAAAGGCATGAAGAGCATAATTGTCAAAGGGGAAGAAGTTTATAAACATCAAGAGGCGACCACAATCTCAACGCAGCTACAAGTTCGAATTAATTACTTGTGATATTGTATTTCACTTCACCCATAGAAAGAAAACAAAAGCACGAAAAGATTCAAGTGTGATTCCTACTTTAGCGTTAAGTTTATCACATAAAAGCAATTGTGTAAATATGTTAAGGTTGGGAGAAAGAGCCACAACCTTTAGAAAGAAAAAAATATATATCCAAATTCTGATGAATTTTCACAATTGATATGATTGTAGCATGATGAAAAAATGTTTAATTTATAGCGCGCTATAATGAGATAACAATAATTATCTTGATTTGGTAATCTTTGTTAGTCAATAAGTTAAAGTGATAAAAAAAGAACATTTGTTTATAAATATATGACATAACTTTACAACGCAAGATGGAAAATACATTCTGGATTTTTTAAAATGTTATTGTTCCATGGAGCTTACTTTGGCATTTATTAGATGAGAATAATTGCATTTACACTGTCTCCATTATTGTTAAATAGTAAAATTCATTAATTACTTAAAAAGTTATTTCCATTTCACTGCACATTGTTTATACTTGGCAAATTACTTCAGCAGTGCTTTTATCTCATCTTTTTCTGCACATTCGATGTAAGGAATCCCCTCAGGTGACTTTTCATTCTTGTTGGCTCCCTGCAAAAATAAAATGCATATAGCTTGTTTAAAATCATTTAAAAAAGGCATTCATTTCATTATTTTTTTTATTGTAACGGTACAACTTATATTTAAAAAACCCTTTTCTGACATTTGTGCTTATTATTATTTTTTTTGCAGGTAGCCTTATTTTTTTATGCCTTGCAGGCAGGGCTAGAATATTGACCCTTAAATTTGTTGCATTGAATGAACGGTAACAGCTCTACTAAAATATAAGTTCTGCTAGTAGTGGTACCATATCTTGTAAAACAAAAGAACTATTTGCGTCTATATGGTCCAAACCCAATGTTTAGGATTCAAATGAGTACCGGTACCGTATTCTCTTGGGTTTCTTTACCCAGTTTTTAATGCAGGGTTTATACAGACTTCACGGTCCAGAATTCAAAACATTTGGCCAAACCTTTCGATGACCTTTTTTAAATAAAAATTTGAACACCTATTTACAGTACCAGTATTACATATTCTAAAGAGAACAAAAATAAAGTCACCAAAGTATAGCACTGATACAAATTTATATAACCCAGAATGATCAAATCTTTGATGGTGGGCCCGCAAAATATATAAGAAGTCAGTTGAAGTAGAAGAAATACTTTATCACACTAAAGGGCAGGTTAAACACCAAAATTGAAATAAGGGAATTTTACCAATTTTTTTGTTTCAGTTATTAGTAATCATCTTAAAAATCAATAAAAAAAATTTTTTAAAATCTATGTTAGTAAAAAATAATGATTTTGATCAATTATAGGGCAAATCGTTGCGATAAAGTGTATGTTTTAAAAGTGTTTTTTTTTTTAATATAGCACCCACAAAAGTATGTACAATGATATATATTTATTTGATTCAGATTAGTGTTCACAAGTAATTTTTTATTTGAATTAATAGTTTTAAACATAGTAATCATGATGAATCATCGGGCACAGACTAATGGGGAATTGTCCTATACCAAATATTACAAATGTCCTAGCAGCTGTGTTTTACCCAGTGGCTTTGAACAAAATATTTGTTAGGCTTGATTTATATATTGAAAGAGTCCATTCAATATTTACATAAATAATACATCCTTTATTAATACATCAAACATATATCACCCCAGCAATAAGTTTTTGGAGTTAAGTTTAAGGACTTCCTTCTCCTCATCTGAAGCCTTTCCTACTAATTTGAAGCATAAATAAAAGAGAAGTCTCTTTTAAATTGAGTCCTTTTGGCTTTGCTGTTGGCTAAGGTAAATTAATGAGACACAAACAATTTGTGTAAATAAATAATTATTAGTTCAGCTTTAATTATGCTTACCGGGTCAACAGAATACAAATTTAAATGTTTCGACAAAAGCCTTCATAAGTACAATAAACATTCATTTAAATTTAAGAATAAATTAATTATTATGTATAAAATATATATAAATATAGATATATGCAATCGAGTATCCGGCATGCTTTGCAATGCCACTCAAATAAAGAAAGTGCTTGTGTTTCAATTGTTTTTTTAACTAAGTACTTTTTATATAGACAATATATTTTGTTTTTCCAACTGGTGCGTACACGCATAAATTAGTAATACCAGGATAGCTTTTTCAGCTGGCTCAATATTTTCAAGCAACCTGCAGTTAATAAAACTATGTAAGAAAGCCAGTATTAAAGCTTAAATGTAGTAGGAATCACTTATTAAAAATCTTTTTTTTTTTTTGTATTAATAAAATAAAAAGGAACTTTTCATAATAGCTTTATGAATAAAAAATGTTTTGATATTACTCGAGCTTACAATATGTCAGTGGAAATACAACAGAACCAGTATCTGTGATGGTTGGAAAATATTCTCTCGTACTTCTAGAAGGACTGTCATGAAATAGATTATCCGTTCAATTTCTTTTTCTAACATGGAATAGTTTACAGTTCAGTGCAGGGCCATACATAGACAGTGGTAAAAAGCTCCTGTGTCCAAGGTCTATGGTAATCAGGCTGAATTTTTCCAACAAGCTTTCACTTTCAGCAGTGGGATGTACAAGCAAATGGGATGAGTGGAAAAATGAACTAACTTTATTTACATCCCAGATGAGAATATTAATATCATTGAGATTTTCTTGTATCTGTTCATGGTCTCATCAACATAAGAACGTAAGTAGAATCTGCTCTTATTTATTTTAAAAGCATATCAGCAAAGTAGGGTGCTATAAAAATAATGCTGAGATATGCAGAGTTCCTATTAGCACATGCAAACTGGTGTGCTATTTCACAAGTAGAAAACATGACCTTGACACACTCTGAGTGTATTTAGAAGAATTGAAGCTGTAATGGCCATTTAGAAATTTCATTGTCCAAATGATTTCAGCGGTAAGCACTTCCATCTTTGTGCAGAAAGACTGAATATAATAGGTTTTCCTGTTGATCCCTGCCCATGAGAGGCCCTTGATGATGAAGGTAGTGGGTCAGCATTATTAATTGTATTAAAATATCCAGCAATTGGAGTCAAATAGCAGCTTTCTCATTCTGAATCTGCATTTTCCTAAGTCATATAAACAAAAAATTATTTTATTATAGTTAGGCTTATCCTGATATATTAATCATAATTTATCTCATACCTGTATTAAAATTAACTGATAGCCTAAAGTCTGGAGAAAATAATTTGTAGACCTCAAATTAGTAGCTTAAATAAATACTTAGGCAAAAACCCGAAATATCCTCCAAATTTTTATTTCAATAAGTTAATTGATAAATAGGTTTAAATTACTGTAGCTTACCCTTTGCAAGGTTGTTTAGAGCTCCTTCATCCATTGATGAGATATCAATGTCTTTTTACATAGATTCTCCTCTCGTCATATGCTACTTTTTTTTTAAAACCCAAAACTTGTATTCTGACTTATCAAGCCTAATTTCATAAATTAAAAGAACAAACTCAAGGCATATTTAATATGGTAAACTATTCAAATGATTTTACAAGTTTCAATAGAAAATGCATGTATGTCACTAATCCAAATCGAAAATGTTAACGAAGGACATTCAATTTTACCATAAAATGTGTAGGCTTAGTCAAAACGGGTAAAGTTACTATGCGATCGGTCACTTAAGATTAGTTTGATTGGCTCAAAGTCAAAGAAATCTACAGAACAATAAAAAAATTCTTTCTTGCAAGGTTATGGTTACTTAATCTAAAACATACCTAATATTAAGTAATTTTTGACACTAAAGTAGTTCACCGATGGCTGATTTTTACATTAGAGAAATACTTTAGATGTCTTAGTCTTATGTTTAAAGTTAAATTGTTATCATGTAAAATTTTGTCTCGCTTAAAATACGTATTTATACGTTGAAAACATTTCCATTTTTTTGTATTAATAAAGTAATCGTATTTATTCAGCAATGTGCAGTGGGCAAGTCAGTTAAATGGATACTTACTTCGATTTCTTTAGATTAAAAAATATATATATAATTTACCCCAAACTTTCAAAGACTGAGGTTTTTTTTGCTTATTTTCTAAAACATTCCAGGCCCTGGAAATTTTTAAAAAATGTTCCCCAAACCTTCAATGACTATGCAAACACATGTTAATGTTATAACTGTTTACCCTAACTTGCAGTAACCCAAGTTATATTTCTATAAATAATTGTGATTACAAAAGGCATTTCAAAGAAAAAATATTTTTAAAATTCCCAATAAATAATCTGCTGTTGATTAGTGGTTGAGGTGGATAGGGTATAACTCCAAAGAAAACATCACCTGATTATGCCTATCATGGAACCCACAGGGAAAATTGAGAGAGGAATACACATGCAATAAACTGTAAAGAAAAGCACAGAACCGAGATGAATGGAAAGCACTTGCAGGCGGCCGATAACCCATGCAGGGTAAAACTAGTAAATGGCATAAGTAAGTGATTAGCTGGTTTGATAACGGATGATGAATCATTCCAAGTAAATGGTAATCAGTAGATTTTCTGTTATGTGCAACCTTAATATTTATATCAGGGTTTTCCAACCTTTTCTACAAGCTGAACCTCCTAAAAATTGTTTGACTACCTCTGGCAGCCCCTAACAAAGCAAAAATGCATTTCAAAATTAGAAAAAAATAGTTTTCTTATTTTTAAAAATTGAATTACAAAGACAACTGCAAAATTTCAAAAACAAACTTATCACTTGACACATAGAGTAAAATACTAACAAAAATTCTTTAAAAAAATACTCAGTATAAAATTTTTTACCGGTACCGGTACTTAAATACCAATGGTTCCTCCGTACCTATAATCACTTTCCTCACACCCCTGAAATGCCACTTACAGGTTGCAATAAGTTACTTCTATATCTATTCAGCTACATACATGTAAGTTTTGTTGTTTTACTGAACCCGTTTTTTTATTATTATTAATTAAAATCAGCTTAGGAGTATAAAACATTTATAACTGTCAACAGTAGGGTTCACAAACCTTTTCCAGTAAGAGTTTTACACTAGCAGTATGTCCCTCGAAGATGGCAGACAGTAAGGGAGAAATTCCATACTTGTCAGGTTCCTGGATGAAGAAGGTGGAGAATATGTATCAACCAAATTTTGTGTCTTTCTGTCACAATACTTTTTCATTCAATAAAGGGAACTTATGCTCATTTTAGAAAAAAAACTTTATTTTGAATTTGTTGAAAACTAAATGAATCTAGGATTAATTTGTTATACACTTTTTCCATATTTGTGCCATAGTGACCATTTAAGACCTCTAAAATTAAATGTAAAATTAAATTATATGAATATTTTTTTTTAAAGGTTATGATTATAATATGATCTTGAAACAAGTGCTTATTTTTTAGTATCCATCTATGATAATAAATAATATATTTATTCCTTTAAAAACTTAAAACTTACATTAACTTTAGCACCTTTGGAGATCAAGTACTCAATGACTTCTGTTTGGCCATAATCTGCAGCATAATGTAAGGGAAGGCGACCTTGTATTGCTTTATTTACATCCACCCCCTGTAATGAATAGATCATAGCCCATGTTTTTTCTCAAATTAAAATTTACATGACAGAGTAGTTTGGATACCTTCCACTTGCTGTACTTCCAGAGGTTTCCTAATGCATGTTTAATTTTTTAACCTTGATTCAAGTTAGCTGAGTAGGGCTAAAGACAATAAAACAGACCCAATAATTAAATAATACTGAGATAATTTTTCTTTTTTTAAAAAAGCATAATTTCAATCTGAATAATTTATTTCCTTTCAATTCATGGTATCCTCATCTAATCCATGTTTACAACACTTAGCCAAACCATGGCATGGACCACAGATATGAAAATGGAACAACTTCACTGGCTCTTTTCTCCACAAAAATTAAACAAAATATTTTCTAAGCAGTTGTACCCTATCCTTAGACAACAAATGAGGCTTTATTTATTTATTTTTGTACAATTAGTTAAAGTTAAATGGTTGTTTTTTGGTAAGCTTACAAAAAGACAGTACCGGTATTTGAATTAGAAATGCTTTAAAATAATTTTTAAATCTTTTAAGAAAACATGCCAGTAACAATAAATAAAAGACATTATGGTCCTATATCATTTGTATTGAAATAACATAGCTAAAATATGATTATATTAATAATTATACAGGTTAACTAAAACATAAGTATACCGGTACCAAAAGAGTGAATGGTTAGGCCTAATACACAATACCGGTAGTTAATTACTTAATCGGTAACCCTGAGATTCTTATTTTAGGGCCTACCAGTACCCTAACCCTATTTCAATTGTTTGAAATGATTTGAATTTAAGGCTAATATGCAGTTATCGGCAGGGCTGGAAATATGTTCGGTATATAGATCATGGAGGTTTAGCTGGTCAACTACCAGCCATAGTTTCATATTCAAAAGATTGTAATTTTTTTATTTTTTTGATAACAATAACAGTTTCTTTTCCTCACTAATTTTTCCATATCCAGAAATTTTATAGTTTCTTATTTGTATACAGGTACCAGTACCGGTACTGAAAGTGGGGGGAGGGATTTGGGAATGGAGACCCCTCTCCAGGTAATTATATTGAATTGTCCCAATAAATCAAAAGACAGCACTTTTAATAATGTGCACATCTATTTTCCAGTGTTCAATGTAGGGTATCAGCAAGGACGAGCTTTTTTTTAAAATTTGATTTTAATTTATTTTTTAAAATTTCTTTTGAATCATGTAAGTTGAATTTTAATAAAAAACGCATGAAGTCTCATTTTAATATATTTCATATTACCAGTAACTGTATCGATGGTTAGATTTAGTTTATGATGCAAATAATGCTAATTGAAGAATGGGAAAGCTATCATTCACATTGTTCAGGTCCTACTGTTGGTCCTGTCACTAAGTCCAGTGTTGGGATTCCCCAGATTGATGTCATTGCGTTTGGAATGAGACAACTCTTGGCAAAACCCATGCTGCTAACTAAACTTTCACTGAATTTAATTTATGATTTAATTTAAGTAATCTAATACTTCATCGTCCGGTATTAAAGTATCTTGTTGTTCCGGTTTGAAGTGCTAGTGCTATAAAGATCAATCTTTTTTTGATGTCCAATAAAAGAGAGAGGTTTTTTTGGTGGCAAAGAAAGAGAGAGTGGCCCTTGTTTTCTCATGGCAATGCCAAACCAAAGTGTGATCATGTTACAAGAGTGCATAGAAAGATATATCCTTTCAGCCTCACTTGTTGTATGGGACAGATGCGAGGATTATGCAAACACAGGCCAGATCTGACAAGGAATCTACAAACACTTTGTTGTGGTCCATCAACAAAATTTTGCCTATCCAAAAGATGCTTAAGTCCAAAAACAAAATTTTTGAAATATGTGGATGCACAAGTTTGGCACAAGCCGTGACAAGCTGCGATCTTTTCCCTTCATATTTGCATGAGTTCATGTTCCACAATTGTTTTTGTGGTGATGATATAAACTCAAACTATTTTCTTTTCATATATTTAAATTATTATAACGTTTTTTTTATTTAAAAATTCTTGAATTGTTTAAATGTTTCTATTTTTAACTTTTATTAAAATAATGTGCACATAATATATGTTCTGAAATCAATATGTACAATAAAAAAAAATTCCATTTGGATCAATAAAAGAATTCGATCTAATCAATATATGAATAAATGAATAACCCTTGCCTTTAAATTATAACACTTCAAACCGGAACAACACAAGTTTAATTCTAAGTCCTAAATTATAGTTCATAGTACAATATAGTATAGAACTTGTAAACATACTTTTAAAAAGTAAAAGTAAAAGTAATTAAATTTTAAGGAAAAGTTAATTTTAAATCACTACACTACTTTATCAAACTTCTCCAACTATTATTTATTGTCTTTAAGTTCTGAGACTTACTAAGTTAGTACGGTCTACTAAACTTTACCAAACTGTCTACTACGGTACAGGACTTTCCAGAACTACTACTAACTACTGAACTGTCTTACTCTTAGTTAGTCTAACAGTGACCAGTGTCTACTAACTACTAAGACTAAGTCTACTACTCGCCTCTTTTTCCACAAATGTCTTGATGTCATTTAACTCTCCATTTTTCACTTTCCATACAAATTCTTGATCTTTATCCTCTGACATTGTAACTGTTTGTGAGACTAAAATAATTAAGAATGTGTGAAATAAGAATTCCGTGTATTTCTAAGATGAGAAGTAAAACAAATTGGCGATTTTGGGAGTAATAACCCACTGAGCCGGGGGTTTGATCCGGAAGTAATTAACTTCCGTAATCAAGTAAACCTTATCATTTTATAAACATTTTCCTTCTTTAGTCTCGTAACATTAAAAGTCTTAAAATAATCAAACTAGCAATATAGAGCCAAAGATTAATTAAGAAATTCGCAGATTTTAAATATTCACTACAAATATCAATACGTTGGTTACAATCAATTTGATAAGGTTGGGGAATTGTCATTATAATTATATGATAATATATGCGAGTGCATTTTCTCAGTATCCCGAGTAATCAGTAATCCGAGTATGCACAACTGTAGCAAAAAAATATGCCTAGCCTATAATTATCATCCCAGTACAATGGATATGTAACTAGGGCTTCACGGGATGCAGTTTTTGGGTCAAGTGTTACCCCCCCCCCCCAAAAAAAAAAGTTAACTTCTAATTTTTTTATAATATATACCGGCCTTTA